CAATACAGCATGATGTTCATTTAGTACATTATGGTCCATTTAGAGTCACACAGACCATAAAGCAGGGGATGCTTTAGGGCGGGGTGATTGACATGTCTCTACCAGAGACGTATACGGCGTCTCTATGTCACTCCTCCTCAGTCCAGATATGGTCACTTCCTGCAAAAACAAGATGGCGACCTGGAGGCTTAGTCCTACGTTAACTTGTTGTACTCAGTCGTAGTAGTACTGATACAGTCTCTCTGTCCTTAGCCATGGACCCGTCCATCACGCTGTGGCAGTTCCTGCTCCACCTGCTGGAGGACCAGCGGCAGCGTCACCTGATCTCCTGGACAGGTGAGGACGGAGAGTTCAAGCTCCTGGACGCCGAGGAGGTCGCACGACTGTGGGGATTACGCAAGAATAAGAACAACATGAATTACGACAAGCTGAGCAGAGCTCTGAGATACTACTATGACAAGGTACTACTGCTACTACTACTACTACCACAAGGTATTACTGATGGTACTACTGCAGCTCGTTCTGCTATTACAGAGAACATTAACTGTGACAAAGACTCTGATGATACTAGGACATGGTAGTACTCATAACAGTAGTATTATGTACTTGTGGTACTCATGAATGTATTTGTCCCTCTCAGAACATCATAAAGAAGGTGAGCGGGCAGAAGTTTGTATATAAGTTTGTGAGTCAGCCCGACCCCTCGCTGCCAGATGGGATACGGAACGGAGACGGGGGCCAGAATAGTGACACCGCCGACCACAACGGCCAATCAAAAGGCCTGGGGGGCATGGCCTCCCCCTGTCTGTCAAAGGGCTTACCCGAGGTACACTTATTCTTTTTTTTTTTTTTTTTTTTTTTTCGTTTTTTTTTTTTTCTGTGTCCAGGATACGGACTCACTATTTAAACAATATCAATACCACTTATTGATTGATTGATTTCTGTACTGGTCCAGCGCTTGTCGCTCAGCAGCTCTCAGAAAAGCTCCCGTAACGACTACATGAAGTCCGGCCTCTACTCCACCTTCACCATCCAATCGCTGCAGACCTTGCCCAACGCGCGGCCAATCAAAACGGAGCTGCTGCTGCAGGACTCCGCCTCCAAGGCTGATCGCAGAGAGGTGAGAGGACATTGGGCGTGTTTAAAGCAGGATAAACGTATTGATTATGGATCGTAACGTATTGATTATGGATCGTAACGTATTGATTATGGATCGTAACGTATTGATTATGGATCGTAATGTATTGATTATTGATTGTAACGTATTGATTATTGATTGTAACGTATTGATTATTGATTGTAACGTATTGATTATTGATCGTAACGTATTGATTATTGATCAGAGCGTATAGTATTAAAACTTTCATTATAAAAGCCTGAGACATAATCACTGTAACTATTGTCCTCTTCTGTCCTGTCCTCCATCCTCCTCTCTCTCTCTCTCTCTCTCTCTCTCTCTCTCTCTCTCTCTCTCTCTCTCTCTCCCCCTCAGGTGTGTGTCCTTGCAGAGTCGACTCCCTCCTCCTCATTAGGAGGACCTGTTGACTCCTCCCTCCAGGTGATCGTGACTCACCCGTCTCCCTGTGTGACTCCGGCTCTCAGCCCCCAGATACCAGCCAGCACCACCAGCCAATCACAGGTCAGTGTGAGCCCCCCCCCCCTCCGTTCTTGGTCACCCAGTTCCAAGCTGGTGTTAAACTGGTCCTCCTGTTTCTCCTTCTCTCCCAGAATCCTCTTGCTCCTCCTCTGAGTGAGCCTCCTCAGATCTATCTCACCAGAGTGGGGGACCCCCCCTCCCTCCTCCCCCTCCCTCCTGTACACCCCCCGCACATGTTGATGGACGACTGTGGGGTGGTCACCAACCCCCCCCACCTCCACAACACTCCTCACCCGACTCACCACCCCTCTGTCTTCGTCATCATCAACCCTCCTCCCAACCAGCAGCAGGCGGCGGCCATGACGGATGCTCCCCCCCCCCCCATCGTCATCAAGGAGGAGAACCTGCTGTCGGAGGAGGAGCTGCTGGAGATGGTGTCTCTGGAGGAGAGACGGGTGGAGGAGGTGAGAGGGAGCAGAGAGAGTCCAGGTTTGTGCTGAGTGGTGGTTTGTGACCGATGACTCATGAGGTCTCTGTGCTCCTCCTCCAGGTCCCTCAGCTGATCTGTGGAGAACCAGAGTCCCCCCTCACCATCGTGGAGATTCCGCCCCCTCCCTGCATGGAGCCCGAGGTCGGAGGTCAGCGGGAGGAGGACACGCCCACAGGTGTTTTTACTGAACAGCTTCTGCAGGATGTGGCGGCCATTTTTAGATTGTTCCAGTCGGACGTTTTTTATATTTACTTTTAAGAAAAAGGTTTATTAACGTTTGTTGAGGTTTGTTAACGTTTGTTGAGGTTTGTTAACGTTTGTTGCGGTTTGTTAACGTTTGTTGCGGTTTATTAACGTTTGTTGAGGTTTGTTAACGTTTGTTGAGGTTTGTTAACGTTTGTTGAGGTTTGTTAACGTTTGTTGA